CTTGGTGTCCTGGGGCACGGCGTACTCGATCAGCTCCTCTCCATCCGCAGACTGGTACACCAGGTCAAACTTGCCTGGCTCCTTAGCAGCTGAAAACCAAACAAACAGCTCAACCACCTACAAACCAAAGAAACTTTAAATGTTTACCACAAAAGCCAATGAAAATCAGTTTGGTTTTGGGATTTGTTTTGGGGTTTTTTTGTGCTCAGTGTCTGGGTTCAAAAATCTCGAGGGAAAATTGAGTACTGCACACCAAAATTAAGGTAATTATCTGACTACTCACTAGGGAAAATCAACCATACGTTGCTGAAATTTGACAAAAATGCTCATATGACAATTCATTAATTCTGGCTTACATGGTGACTGCAGGATGCAGAGTTTGAGAAACATTAATCATTGCAGGTCTCAGGAACTGCACCTGCAGGGACTCACTTCCACACTCACCAAAGATACATCATTATGATCTCACACTTTCTCTAAAATAATAATATATTTTCTTCCTTTCTGAAATAATTTCTTTCAGAAAATGAAACCATACTAGAAGTGAGTTACTGACCACTCCAACTGACTGAAAAAAATTATTTTGTAAACACCCATGAGCATCTTTCAGCTCAACTAGCAAAGGTTAGAACTTCTCAATGTAAATAGACATTTTGGAGAAGGAATGAGGAGGGGAGGGGTGTTGAGAATGATCCCAAGGAAATTTGGAATACTCCTGAAAGATGAAGTGTTCCTTGGACTTCTGGTTTTCCAGGCACACGACAACAAGCCCTTGGTGTCCCCAGGTACCTACACTGTCCTGCTGATGTTGAAAGGATCTCCAGTTCAATCTGCTTTTTTTCATCATTCCAACTGATTATTTTTGCCTCCTTCACAAAGCAACAAGAAAAGAATCAGGTAAGACACACTTCAGCACTGGATTCCATATTTACAACCAGTGCACTACTTGATTGCTGCCAGAGGAAATAAGTATATTTGGCTATCAAATTTTCTAGTCTCCATATATAAAATCTGCAAAGAATTAAATGCTCATCAATCTGTAACTACTGGCATCAATAAAACAAAGTTACTCTTGTCACTAACTTTGCAGTTTAAATCAGTTGTTACCCAGAAACCAAGTTATTTGAAGTAGCAACAAAATTTTACTTGCAACAGTTTTAAGAACTTGCCTTAACTTCAAATAGCACTAGACTCAAATACAACTACATTTTCCTACTTGAGGGTCTGCATTTTTTGTCATCTCTAAAATATTAATAATCCTTGTAGTTGGTGGTTGTTTGTTTTTGTTGGTTTTTTTTTAATAACAGCTACACTTATAAAATTTTCAATTAGTTTTGGCTTCTAGAGTTTTGATTTTTACTGCTGCACCAGGAATAGCCTGTGGAGTGAACTGAATGCAAGGAAAAACACTGCACAGCATCAAAATATTTAAGCCATACCTCACCTATCATAGTTCTGTGAGTGAAGGGAGGAAAGAAAACCAGTACCTTATAGTCTGAAATTTCAGGACTGTAATTTTCAGTTAGCTCCAGGCGCTGTTGAAAGAAATACAAGTAACAAATTGTAACTTTTCCCAATCTTTGATGGCTCCACCTACACCCAGACACAGTTTCCTCAGCCACAGAAAGGTGCAAGAGCCCAGTCTGCTACTCCTGGAACCCAGTGCCAGTCATGGTCCCAGGTACACATCCAGGACTTGCTGCTCCAAAGGATTTAGGTTCAGGTCAGGCTGTGTGAGGAGATCAGGGAGATGGATCCCACTCTCCTCAGCTGCAGGGATTTAATTTTCATTTACTTTTTTTATTTTGCAATGTAATTATTTGTATGGTAAGATTTGCAATAACATTTACATGGAAAATTACACTGCAATGATAGCAGAGACAGCCTTTCTTGTGTTCTACAAATACAGAAAGTCTAAAGAAATGTACTTAACTTCTGTATTTGCTCCAAACTTTGTCGAAAATCAAAGCCAGGCTTTACAACAAGTGAATTTTTTAGAGAAACGGTTATGTCAGAAACTTAAGAGTGGCCCAAATTTTAACCTACTAACAATTTTAACCTACTAGCAATTTTAACCTACTAACATTCAGCATTTCCAGAGTTTACCTTAAAGGCAATTCTTTCTCCCACTTGGGGTGGAGCAGCTAGAAGAGGTAACACACTATAGTCTCTCTTGGGAAAGTCCACGGGATTCTGTGAAACAAAGAGCAACCCACTGATTAAATTATTTCATCACTGAAAACAGAAGACAATGTTCATGCTGCATGGATTGCAAGAATCACTGAGAAGAGCGAGGTACATGCTTTGTTTTTAGATATAGAATACAATCACTTTATTGTTGCTTCACAAACACATCCTCAGGCTGACAAACAGAATTACAGTCAGTAAAAAATCAGCCTTTATCCCACTAATCTATTTCTGCTGTTATGAATTACTCTCATCCTGCAGGTTCTTTGTACAGCTCAAGCTGACCCCTGCCTGTGTCAGCACTCACCTGGACAAGGACAGAAGTGTTTGTCGCAGCTTCATTTAACTGCCTCTGCTTGTGGCCTTCACTGCTGTAGTTATAGAAGCAGCCAGGGTTTGCTCCTCTCCCATGGCCCCTCATCATCCCACGAAACCCACGGCCCCTGGGGCCTCTCCAGAAGGGATCCTCTCCCGTTCCACGCCCCCTTCCACGGCTGGGGCTGCCAAAGGATCCTTGCACACTGGCTGGCAACTGTCTAGTGCAGTTCCTTACTATGGAATTACCCAGTCCAGCACCTGCTGCAGACTTTTTAATGACCAGTGTCTCTGAATTTGAGCTATCAGAGTCTGAAGAGGAGCTCTGTGCTTTGGGAGGCTTGGTGCTGGCTTTTACAGCCACCACATGGTTTGGCACTGATTTTTTCTTTGCAGTGCTGTCTTGTGCTGGTGTCACCTTCTCATCCTCTGTACTCGAGTCAGAATCTGAACTAGAAGACTGGGGTTTTTTAGCATTTTTACTAATTGCAGTCTTAATCTTTTCAGTGTTAGACTTTACAGTCACTTTATCAGTTTTCACATCAGAATCTGAAGCAGCTTGGGATTTGTCTTTGGGAAGTGTCACCACTACAGGTTTATGGGAAGATTTATTTTCCTTCGCATTTAATTCACTGCTGTCACTGTCAGACGATGTGCTGGAGGAATCTGAAGCTCCCACCCTCTTTTTCCTGGACTGTGTTGTGATCTTTTTGGTGCTATTTTTACCAGAATTTAGAGAAAAGTTCTCATTTGCCTGTTCTAAAGCCATCTTTGCTGCAGCAACCTTTGTCTGCTTCTCATCCTTCTTTTTTGTTGCCAACTCCTTCTCCCTCTCTGTTTTTTTCATCTTTTTAGAATGCGAAGTAGAGCTCTCTTCCTTACCTTCTGCGAGTTTATTTCTTCCCCTGACTTCTTCCTTTCTTTTTCTTTTCGTGTACCTTTTCTGAGAGTCCCAAGTATCTACAGAGGTCTCTTCCCTACAAGAGGAATACTCAGGGTTGTGTTTCTCCTTTTTCTTTTTCCTTTTATGCTTGCCTTCATTCCTAGACAATTCTTCCTCATCCTCCTTGTGCCTGTGCCTTTTTTTGTCTTCTTTTGTTGTGTAAATAAAGCCATCATCTATCTCTTCATAATCATCAGCAACTATCTCTTCCAATTTTACTCTGTTAAAAAAAAACAAACAAAAGCCACCGTTCAGCATAATGAAGAATGAAGCTGCTTAGGCAGCTCAGGCAAGTTCCCCTAGAGTGAAGATGCTCCAGCTCTTCCCTGGGCAGCCCAGAACCCTCCCCTGCAGGCACAGGCTCCCCTTCCATCTTCGGGAACATTTCCAACTGCTCGGCTCCCTCCATCCTGCTGGGCATGCTCAGGTGCTGGCAGTCAGCGCCCGTGGGCACCCGGCTCCTGCTCCTGCCCAGGGAAGGAACAGCTCAGACCCCGGGGAAGCCCCATCCCCGTCCCACCAAAACCACGTGGAGATTCACAGAATTACACAACGGGTCAGGCTGGAAGGGACCACAGTGGGGTCATCTGGTCCCACCTCACTGCCTAAGCAGGGTCATCCCAGAGCACAGGACACAGGATTGTGTCCGGGGGGCTCTGGAATATCCCAAGTGAGGGAAACTCCACATCCCCTCTGTCCCAGCGTGCGGGCCCTGCACCTCATGGTCAGGTGGAACTTCTGGGCATCAGTTCCTGCCCGCTGCCCTTTGTCCCACGGCTCGGCAGCACCGGGCAGAACCCGCTCCGGCCTCGGCACCGCCTTTAGCTACTGATGGACACTGACGGTGCGCGTGTGCGGGACTGACCCCCGAGCCCGCTGGCCCGCTCCTGCTGTCCTGATCCCCATCCCGCTGTCCCGCTGTCTCGGTCCCGGCGTCCCTGTCCCTATCCCGCTGTTCCTACACCGGTTCCACTGTTCCTATCCTGGTCCCTGTCCCGGTTCCCATCCCGCCGTCCCGGTCCCTCTGTCCCGGTCCCGCTGTCCCGAACTCGCTGTCCCGGTTTCCATCCGGCCGTCCCAGTCCCGATCCCGCTGTCCTGGTCCCGCAATCCCAGTCCCGCTGTCCCGGTCCCCATCTCACTGTCCCGGTCCCGCAGTCCCTGTCCCGCTGTCCCGGTCCCCATCCCGGTGTCCCTGTCTCGCTGTCCCACTGTCCCTCTGTCCCGGTCCGTACCGCAGTGAGTCGTTGTCCCGCACGAGGCGCGCGCTCTCGGCGGGCGGCAGCAGCGCCCCCTCGAGGAAGAGGCTGAGGCGGGCGCGGCGGCTGAAGCCGAAGCGGTGGCGGATGAGGCTGAGCAGGTCGGTGACGAGCCGCGCCTGGCCCGGCTCCAGCAGCAGCCAGCACAGCGCGCAGCCCGGGCTGGCTGGCGGAGGGTGGTCGAACACCAGCCGCAGCCGTACCGGGCCGCCGCCGCCGCTACTGGCCGCCATCATGGAGGAGGAGGAGGAAGGGGCGGAGGAGGCGGGCACGGGGGGTGGCGCCTCAGGGCGGGCCGGGCTGGCCGGTCCCGTGACCGCGGGAGCTGAGGGAGCGATGGGGCTGCTCCGGGCTGTGACCGCGCTCTCCGTGCTGCTGCTGGCGGCAGGTACGGGCCAGGCGGGACGGGACCGGGAGCGGGGCCTCAGGGCACGGGGCCTCCGGGCAAAGCGCTCCTGTGTCCCGCAGCCGGGCCGGGCAGGGCCCGGGCTGAGCCGCGCGAAATTCCCGCTTGCTGGGGTGGCGATCGGGAGGGGCGGAGAGGGTAGCGGCAGTCCCGGGGGAGCAGCGAAGCCTGGCCACCATGGCTTGGAAAAGCCTCATTGCTCCCGCTCCAGTTCGCTGCTGCCTTCTGCCCTGATCCGTGAGATTAAGGGACGGAGTGTCAAAGGTCTGTTCCGTGTCCGAGATCGACAGTAGACTGACTGCGTTAAGTGACCAGACTTTACTGAGTTGAATTATATTTTAGATTCCTTTAGAAGTGACCCTGTCTGCATCGGCTCTCCCTGGGGGCTGTGGATCGGATCGGTCCCCGCGGACCTCCGGCTCGCAGTGCTGGGATGAGTGCGGGCGCTCGGGTCATGGCGCCAATAACTCAAAGGGTGCGGGTTCGATCCCCGCCCGGGCCGATCACTAAACGGTTGGACTCGGTCTTTTTAGCTCCATTTCAACTCAGAATATTCTGTGGTCCTTGTCAATATTGCTGCCGGTTATGGGAGTTATTTCACTGGGGCTGTGCTTTCAGCCCAGGCCTTCAAAACACTTCAAGAACAAATTATTCCAGAGATTGGGCTGTAATTGCGGCGGCAGCTCTAAGGCCAGGCTCGGATAAGGCAGCACTTAATTACACACTTCATTCATTGACAATAACTCAGCCGTGGGTGGGGGTGTAGGTATAGGCAGGTTTCTTACAGTAATTTCTTTTCACAGTAGTAGCATTTCTAATTATCACACCCAAGATTGAAATGTAATGTTTTGGAGCAATTCTGGTGGAAAGTCTGAAGCTGAGCCTTGTTACCTAGCTGATTGTTATTGTTTTTCCCCTCAAGGTGTAGTTCTGAGGCAGCCCCGAGAGCCCAAAGAGGTGTGGGGATATGTGGAGGTCCGGAGCAAGGCCCACATGTTCTGGTGGCTCTACTATGCAAACAACCCAACCAAAGACTTCACAGAGTTACCTCTTGTCTTGTGGCTTCAGGTAAGGTTTGGTGAGGGACACCTAAGCAATAATTCTTTCCATCTGTACCTGGTTCAGTCTGGATATCTGATATTGTGCAGTTCTACAGAAACAGAATTCAAAACTTCCTGGTTCTAAATGCCTCACCTTGTGAATGAGGAGTTGGGGTTGAAAAAAATAAGGGCGATTTTATTCTGCAGTTGTGGAGTGTCCTCAAGTGCCCACCTTCCATCAAGTTGGATTGCAATAACAGAGGTTCTTCTTATCTTTCATACAACAGTAGTGATTTTTGTGCATTGTAATTTCACAGCTCCTTTTCTGGAGAGTTTGAAGTCTAAACAATGTTCAGAGAGAGAGACTAAAAAAAAATAATCAGAGATTGAGGATGATTTCTAAATGGAAATAATCCCAGTTTGATAAAAGTAATGGTGTGTTCTCCACAGTACATTTCAGAAGTTAATGCTGAATAGAATCACTTGAGAACTTGTTCTTATTCTTTCTGGGCTATTTAATCAATGTGAAACCCACAAGCTGTACATGCTGGTTAAATTAATGACTTGCTCTGCTCTCCAGTTAGCAGATAGTTAACTTTTGCACTCCATATTTGGGGAATAAGGTTTTCAAACTGTGCTCACATAGCAGGCAGCTACCAGAAGCTCTCCCAAGTGGGTGACTGCTTCTCTGTTGAATCCTTGCTTTCAGAAATGGTGTGTGTGTGCATAGCCCAAGAACATGAGGAACAGAGCCTGCTCTGCAAATTAACATGTAGTGCAAAAGCCATTTCTAAAATTTACAATCTGTCATTCTACTTACTGGCTGCCTTGTATTTTTCTTCCATCTGTCATATCTATGCCATGCTGCCTTTTAACATCTGTGTAATTTGATATTTCCCTGCAGGGAGGTCCGGGATCTTCAGGCTGTGGGTATGGGAACTTTGAAGAGATTGGTCCATTAGACAAAGAACTGAAACCAAGAAATACAACCTGGGTACAGTAGAGTTCAGCTTCTAACTACTAATTACAAATGTTTGTTTGTGTAAGCAGATGATCACTACACAAAAAAAAAAGATAACAATTTTTCATTTAAAGTTCAGTAGAACTATAATATTTCAAGTTAAAATATTGCGGTTATTAAATTAGCTTATAGGAGTAGCCTTGTTTAGAACTGAGGGGTAGACATTCATTTAATTTAATTTAATGAAGTATGTCTATTCCATGGAACTGTGAAATGCACATGCCTGGGAACCAGAGAGAAGGGAAATTGTAGAAAGTGTTCTTTCAATTCACAGCTTCATTGTGTGCAGTCCCAGAGCTTTTTCTGGGTGGCTGGCAGTGTAAAACCTATGGCTTATAATTACAGGTCCAGTGTGGCCTTCAAGGGAAAACAAATTACAGCTGCCTGTGAAGGTGGAAGTTTAATTAGAGCAATGTATTTGTGCTCTGAGTTAGCAATAGTCTGAAGTACTCTGGAGTTCCCCTAGGTGACCTGGATCACTGGGAGTTTCTGGGTGTATTTCTCGTTACAGATTGGGCAAATTGAAGGACTTTCTGTTGCACCTAATTTTTCTGCAGGTTTTTTCAGGTCCAGGGATTTTTTGGCTCAGTTAATCATTTGTGCCGTCAAAACTAAGTTATTTTGCTGGTGCTGAACTGAGGTTTAATACAAACCACCTTTCTTTCTTCTAGTTGCAGGCAGCCAGTGTCTTGTTTGTGGATAATCCTGTGGGCACTGGATTCAGTTATGTGGATGACTGTAGCTTGTTTGCCCAAAACCTTACCACAGTAGTTTCTGATATGATGGTTTTTCTTGGAGAATTCTTCAAGTGTAGACCTGAATTCCAGGTAAGTGAATTGAATTCTTGCTTACTTTTGTATTTTTCTCTGCTTTTCAATAGAATTCAAAAAGAATTATAGAACAGACTTCCAGATGAGCAGTTTGCTGTTAGCTAGTGTGTGGTGCAGGTATAACCACTGTCTCTTATTTTCCACATTGCAGAGTTGTATCTTGATTTTGGGGTTGGTTAGATAAGCACTGGGGAGGATCATTGTCTGTTGAGTGATCTGAGCAGCATATACAGATCACAGCTGCTTACAGTTCCAAAATGCTTCAGAACCAACCCCAGCAAATCACCAGGATGTTATAGAAACCTAATGTACAGCTTAAAATAAGGAAAACATTAAATATTTGATGGTGAGAGGTGAACAACCAGTGCCTGGGTCCTGTGGGATGTGGGAGATGGTTGGAGGCATCTTCTGCCCTCCATGCAATGAGTTCCTTGTGTGGTTTTTCTCTCCCCAGACCATCCCATTCTACATATTTTCTGAATCTTATGGAGGTAAAATGGCTGCTGGGGTTGCTTTAGAGCTGCACAAGGTAAGTACTTGGAGGATACAGTTCACTTTTCACTTTAAAACAGGTTCTACAAGTACTTTTATTTTCTGGATTACGCTGTCCCTATTGCCTAATTCACAGTACTACTTACTTTTTTCACTTCATGAAAACTGATTCTAGAGTTATGAATAGCTAAAATTTAATTCTTGGTGCTTTGTTTTGTTTTTCCTCTTACTCATGAAGGCTGTTCAAAAAGGGACCATAAAGTGCAATTTTATGGGGACTGCTCTTGGAGACTCATGGATTTCTCCTTTGGGTATGTTTAAATTCCTCACTTTGTGGATGATTTATTGTTGTTATTTTGTTTTTGTTGGGTGTTGGAATCATTGCATGAGTGCCTGAAGTCAAAAAGGCCATCCCTGCCTTAAGTGAATTGACTCTCCAGTGAGTCTGGTAAATCAAAAATAAATACTGCAGCCTTGCAAGTCTTCTTGTGACTGGAGAATCTCTCTTTAGAATGTATCTAGATTAGGAAAAGTCAGAGAGCAGGATTAGTGAGGAGGACACTTGCATCTGAAGTGGAGGGATGGTAAAATGTCCCTGCACATCTCCTCAGCCTCTGAGGTGTTTTGTGAGAGTCCTGTGCTGAAATGTGACCACCAAGTGATTCACAAGGCTGCAAGTGAGATTTGAGTCTGGTGGAGGATAAAAAAGCAAATGAAAGGGCTCTTGGTGCTTCAGTGCTATTGGCAGGGGCAGCCTTCACAGATTCTCTGCAGCACAGAACAACCAAGCAAACTCTTATCTGTCTGCCATCAGCTGATCCTTCAGAATTTACAAACAATGTTGTCATAAAACAGGTCTGGTTTATAACTCAGTTTTTCTCTTGTGACTTTTCAAACAGATCAGTTTAGATAATTCCCATCCTCTTGTTAGAGCTCTGGCAATGTGCTGCAGTGCTGAGGGGGAACATTTTGGTAGAAACATGTTGGTTGCTTGAAATAAATTTCACTGGTTAACTCATAGGGGTTAAATGATGTTGCAGGATTTGTAAAGAACCTGCTCTGTGGTACATAACCTCAGGGTTAAACAGAGCTTACTGATTCATTTTTACTGATTAATTCATCTCCATTTATTTTTCTCATAAATATTGTTGCCCCAGTAAAGAGAGAAGTAAGTTACATCTTACATCAATGCTTGATTGTCAGTTTGATGTTTGAAATCTGTTCTGTTTGTTTAGACTCTGTGCTGTCCTGGGGGCCTTACCTTTACAGCACTGTAAGTACTTTAAACTCTTGGTCCTCACCTGATCCCTTGTGCTGCCATACAATACAAATGGATGTTGAATTTTAAGATTGGATGTTGAATTTTAAGATTACCTCTTGGCCTGAACAAAACCTTGAAAGCCTGGAGGCTGTTAGCAATAAATGGATGTGGAGTTGTAACTGAAGCTCTCCTTCTTTGTGTTTGTCTTCCAGTCTCTCCTGGATGATAATGGCCTGGCAGAGGTGACTGCTGTTGCCAAAGAAATAATGGATGCAATAAATAAAAATCAGTATGGGCTGGCTACTGAGCTCTGGGGCAAGGCTGAGGGTGTCATTGAAGAGGTGAGATCTCTGACTAACATTAAGAACTAACTCCTGCCTGGGGAGGCACAGGATTTCAACTTATCCTTTCTATGAGTGCTGAGCTGGCATGAATTCTTCCACTCTCTGCCCAGTCATTTTTGCCAGGATTTGTTGTATCCCAGTGCTGATACAAAGGAGGGTTTGCTATGCCCTGCTGGGAGAGTGACAGAGGGCAGGACAGCCCTTGTGGTCTTCCAGAATTGCACTGAGGTTTCAGCAGACAACCAGTCCTCTTGATTCCACAGTTTCAATTTAAATAAATTAGATCTGCTGGAAAGCTTTGAATGTTGAAAACTGCATCCACCAAGACACAAAGTTAAGCACACATCTCTGTTTGAAGAACTACAACAGTGGACAGGGTGGAAAGGAACCTCAAGGTCTGGTACTGTGGGTCACTGCATCTCATTACTTAAAAAATTCCAGCATAGAAGACTGGTAAAGTTTTGCTTTGGTTTCTCCTTAAAAGGTTGCTCAAAAATCTCATTCTTTGTTGCATCTCATTCTTTAGTACAGGTAAGGCTCTGGCTTCCTTGGACAGAAAGGTTAATCTGGGGCCACTTTCTGGTGTTTTAGTTTGTATTTTCTTTTCTGTGATTCATAACTGACAGTGCCTTGCACATAGTTGGTTTCACTTCTTGCTGTTCAGAATGAACTTTTGGTTCCTGTTTTACTTTTCAAATCCGCTTGGCTTCCCCTCTCAGCTGTGATGGTGCTGGCAGGTGAAGGCACTGCAGTTCTTGTGCAGTTGTTGTTGTGAGCTGATTTCTGACCTAAGCACCAGAACTTTAAAAACTCAAAAATCAATGAAGCAGGATTTTAATAATCTGGAGTAACTTCTGTAATGGCAGCACTGCTCACGTTTGTCCTTGGGTGCAGGCAGCCTCTGTCAGTGCATCAGAGCTGCCAGTCTGCAGTGCCTGGGCACATGCAGCTGTCACAGCTCCAGAGCTGGGGGGGCTCATAGCCAGCACCACGTGTTCCAGGAAGCATTTTGGGTTTTGGAGGATTGCAGGATGGAAGGATGTTGAGCAAGAGCAGCACCAGACCAGACCTGGCAGAAGGGGCTGTCTAAGAGCATCACCTGGCACTGCAGCTCTGTGCCATGAGTAATGCAGGGCAGGACTTCCTGTAGCTTCACATCTGCTTCAGAGGGTAAATAGCATCTCTGGCACAACCCATGTGTGAACAACACAGCCTTGAGGAATCTCCTTCCCACCTCTCAAAGCAAATGTAGAACTGAAATTTTTCCACAAATATCTTCCTGGTGTGCAGGTAAAGTGACAGGTCACAGGGTCCTTTATTTAGGATTTACTTCTTTTTTTTTTTTTTTTCTTTTCAGGAAAGGCTGTTCTACATCTCTGAGAGATGTTTTTATTAGTGTTACTGAAATTATCTTGTGTTTTCAGAACACAGACAATGTGAACTTTTATAACATCTTGACAAAGGAGGTTCCAGAAGTGAAATCAGATGAACAACAAGAAAATCTCCATCTCAGTAAGTTGTATTTAAATACTTGAACTTCTGAGGCCCTGTGTTTCCATCCACATACCTTCAGCTCTGACAGTGGAAAGTCTCAGTGTAGCACATCCTTAAAATGGATGTTGATATTCTCTTGAGCAGAACTTGTTTGCTGTTGCATAAGTAGGGACAGATAGGAATGTGGAACAACCCTATGGATGACACCTCCACCTATACATCCTGCACAAATTACAGCAAGGAAGAAGGCAATATAATTGCAACATTATTTCATGACCTTTTAAGTTACTTCCTCTTACTGTCTTTCATTTCTGTCTTTAAGACAGGACACCAGAGTGTCTCATCAGTAGAAACAGGCTGATTAAATTCTTGCTCTGTGATTTTTGTGCATCAGTGTGAAAAACACATCAGTGTGAAAAACACATCAGTGTGAAAAACACATCAGCGTGAAAAACATACGTGTAGAACTTCTTTCAAACTCTGTCTGTTGGCTTCATAAGGGAAGGTGAAATGAACTTCTGAAAGTAAAACATTGCAGCTCAAAAATAACTGGTCTGTTGAGAAGAGCCAAGTGGTTAAAGCAGAAACTGATGCCCAGAAAAAGGTGAAGTGTTAGCTAAAAGTAGGAATGGATGGGCTCTTCCTGTCCTAAGTAAGGGTTGACTTCAGTGATTTCTAGTAAAAGTAAGCAAATCTTTCTCTGTGTTGCATTTTCATTAGGAGAGGGTTTGTTGGCCATGATTGACACTGCAGATGGTTATCTGTGCAGGATGGTGTGCTGAGTGTGCCACTGATCAAAGCGTGTTCCCTTTTTGCAGTGCGGCTTTACCAGCGCCATGTCAGGAAAATGCACCAGAGCAGCCTGGATGAGCTGATGAATGGGCCCATCAGAAAGAAGCTGATGATCATTCCTGACTGTGTGAAGTGGGGAGGTACTGTCCTGTCTGCTCACCTGATGAGTTCATCACCACTGTTACCCAATATTGCATCCTGTAGGGGAATACTCTGGCACTGGTCACATTCAGTTGTGCATGGGGCTAAGGAGGGGATTTGCTCTCAGAAATGAAGATGTTGTGGGACAGGCCTGTGGGAGCAGATGTGGTTCTGATTCTGCTGCTTGTATCTGTCTTTAGCCGAGTAACTAAAAATACAGGGGGAAGGAGGAAGATCCTCTGCATTTCAGGAACTGGTTTCTGTCTCTCATGCAGTCTTGCTGAAACTCCTGACAGTTTTTCTGTGCCAGAAGTCTGGTATCTTACAATGATGGATCTTATGGAGGAGGGGGTGTAAAACAGCCTTAAAGGGCTGATGTCAGCACTCTGTGTGTGTAAATAGGAGCCAGAAGCTACAGCACTGTCTGTGAGCTCCAGTGGGAGCACAGCTGCTCCTCCTGTTCCTCAGACTGATAAATCACTGCCACTTTTGGCTAGGATTGTTTTTTGTGCAGCTGTGAACTCCATTTTAAAGCCTTTAGCCCATGCTTCTGTCGCTGCTTGGGGATACATCCTTCATCACTAAAATTTGTTTTTCTGGTTCCAACCAGGTCAGTCCAAACAGGTCTTTGACAACATGGCTGAGGACTTCATGAGACCTGTCATCGATATTGTTGATCAGCTTTTGGCAGCCAATGTCAATGTTACAGTCTATAATGGGCAGCTGGACCTCATTGTTGACACCATGGGTAAGGAACCTTTTCACTGGGGGTGGAAACAGAACAAGGGATGAGTAGAATGTGGAGCTGTCAGTATATTGGTACCCAGATTTCTCCAATCTCCTGTGCAAACCTCTTATATGACTAGCAGTGTTTAAATACTACAGTCATAAATGAGCAGCACTTAGGATGTTTTGCTTATATCCCTCTGAGAGAGGCAAATCCTTTACCTCCATTATACTGTTGAGAAATGGATCTGCCACATCAGTAATTGCTTGTTTCAGTGAAGCCAATAATTCACTTAATCCTCCTGGATAAGCACATAGATGTGTATGTGTGTATGCTCATTCATAGGCAAAGAATGCTGGCAATTAATGAGGGAGGGTGCAGCGGAAGGGTGATCACACCTGCTCTCAGTGCAGGCTCCTGCACACCTTGGGCTTTGCTTGCTGCTTGCAAGATGCTGGTTTGCTCCAGGGGCAGTTTGGGAGCCAGGCCAAGTGCTGCTGAAATGCCTCACAAGGCTGCTGTGCTCCCTTCTGCTGGTCTTTTCTCACTGAGTTAGAGAATCTGCAGTCACAGACTCCACAAACACCTTCCTATGCTGTGAAAGGCTTTATTCCTTGTATGTCTCTGTCCACTTAGATATTCAAGTGCCCTTCATGAACAGCACAGCAATCAATAAATCCAGGAAGCATGGTATTTAGGTTGTCAAAACAGATTAGCAGTAGTTAATGATGCTCCAGTTTATCACATTTTCATCTAAAATTGAGCTGTTGTTAACATGTAAATTCTTACGGCAGTTCACAAGTAGGATAAAGCTTTGTCCCCCTTGGAGTCCTAGAATTGATCTTGTTGCTCTCTTGACCTCCACCTTCTCTAGCAGCAGCTGAAACAGAAAGCCTTTTCAGTCTGCTCTCAATGAGTGTCCAGGAACAGAGAAACAGTGCCTCTTCTGATTTCCAGGAGGGGAGCTTGGTATGGCTGATCCCTCTCCATGGCAGGACATTCAAGGTGTTTGAGGTGCAAAGTGAAATATGTTGGAATTTCTAGGGCTGCAGAGCCTCCAAGAAGCACATGTTCAACTTGCACAATCCTAAATCCGTTTCATACACATCTTCACTGTTGACTTATTCCCTTCTCCCCTGCATTGGTTTGTTTCAGTTTGGCCTGAATTTTCCTAGGCATAAGAAAATTGGTTTTAGGATCTGAACAGACAGACTCTGTGCTAACTCTGCTGTACTGGTATCCAGTTCAGGGGTGTCCAGCTGAACTGGACTCCCAAGCTGCTGTGGAACCAAGTATTGGTAATTTCCAAGTATTGGTAATCAATGCTGTCTCTTATTCCCACCAGGCCAGGAGGCATGGATCCGGAAACTAAAGTGGCCTGACTTGGAGCAGTTCAGCCAGAAAAGGTGGAAGGCACTGTACGTGTCTCCAGAATCCACTGAGACTGCTGCTTTCCACAAGGCCTATAAGAACTTTGCTTTCTTCTGGATTCTCAAGGCTGGGCACATGGTAAATCATAAAGTCCTTGGGGTGGAATCAGCAAGAAGGCTGAAGATGTGTGTGTGGCTGCTGTCTGCTTCCTCATAGCAGCTGCTTATCCTGTGCTGTTCTCTGTGCTAGGTACCAGCTGACCAAGGAGAGATGGCACTCAAAATGCTCAGGATGGTGACTCAGCAGCAGCACTAAGGAGAGGAGCTCATCTGGTCTGGCTTCCTGTCCAGCAGCAGGGCTCTGCAGGAGTGTGAATCTGGATCCTAAGCCAAAGGAGGCACAGTGGCTGTTTGGGCACACAGCCTCCCTCATCTTGCTGATACTGTGCACAAGTGCTTGTGGAAAGGTGTTTTTTTCCATGAATGAGTTATTGCTTTTGAATTTTTAAGCTGTGATTTGCTGCCTTAACATTGTCCATAAATGACTCTTCCAGAAGGAAGTCCCCTGCCATAAAGAACAAGCCCTGAACCTTTGCCTGGGAAGGATTTTGTGCTCTTGCCCTTCCCTGAATGCTCCCTTGTCTGTTTGCACACCAAGAGTAAAACTGATTTGACTTGATTTGCTTTGTGTTCCTGTGGGAGAGCTGACCTGAGGCTGTGGAATGTTCCTTCCTATGTCCTCAGGCTTGAGTCACCTGGCTGGATTCAAGATGAAGCCATGGAAATGCCAGGACAGAGGACCTGCCCTAGAGGAATCACAGTCCATCTCATCTTGCTGAGATGCCTGAATTAGGATCCAGGATTCTTCAGTTTTTCTGTGCTCTGGAGAGAGAAAAACATCCCACAGAGGAGGATTTGTCCCTTTTCATCTGACCATGTGTTTCTTGTTTCCATTCTTCTTTATACCCACTGCTCAAACTTTGCCTTTATCCTCAACACCTGAAGCACATCCAGCAGGAATTCCTGCTTTTCTGTATCCTGGAGCAGAAGGCCTTTAATACCCTCTTGTACCAAAGAGTCCCAACAGACAGAAGCTTCTTAAAACCTTCTGGGTTTAGCCAGAAGGAAAGGAGCATTATTTGAGCAATAACAGCATAGTTCTGAAATATTATAGGAGTGTTTAAAGAAGGATATACAAAATCTTGATCCATGTCTTTTGGATATTTTTTTTAAGTCTTGCAGAGACCTATTATTTCAAAACTTTTTTTTTAATATAATACATAATCAAGAAGAGACTGGTCAGACATTTGGCTTTTGCTATGGAGCATGAAGTAGTTGTTTTTTATTGGTGTCTGATAGGAGGCACAACTGTCAGCAACTCACTCCAGCCACTGAAACTGTCATGAAATACCTGATAGCATTGTCTTAGCAAGAACTGAGGCACTGTCCTGGTTTAGGGCAAATTTGTGAGGAAACTCCAAAAGGGGTCCCTCTAGAAAGCAGATTCAAGCCCTTCCCTCTGCTGGTTTGGGAAAAGATTTCCTTGGAGAAGAGTGGGGAAAAACTTTATTTAACAAGCAAAATATTCACAAGCATCAAAAAATGAGTAATATTAAACAATAAAACCTCTCTCTGTTCTGAAGGGATGGCAAATTCAGGAAGTCCTTGTTGTGGGGTGTAGCTTGACTTGCTCTCTTATCAGTCCCTGTGGTGCTGGAAAAGGGGGTGACCAGGCCCAGGTGCGCCACAGGTGTGAGCTCCCAGGGTTTCCTGGGTTTCCAGTCCAGTTTGAAAAGTTCCAAGAAAAACAAAAAAGAACACACAGCCCAGGGAACCTCACTGCCTCAGCTAGCTAAAAAATAAAACTAACTGAAAAGAAAAGGAGAGCTCTCTCCTGCTGTCTGTGCTGCAGACAACAGAGTTCAGGAGAGAAAAATGCTGAAGCTCTCTGTCTCTGTGTTTTGAAAACAACCACCTCAGACATTTTCCTGCTTCTCCTTCTCCCCCCACTTTACTCTCAGATCTAGTTTTAAAGGTGCAAAACTTATGTCTGGGCTGAATAGACAAATGGGGATACAATTCAGCATCATAAAGTAACCCTAGGACCGGCCCAAGGCTGTGTGAGCACACGTGCAGTCACCCAGCAGCTGCACTGTTGGTACCTAATAATTACTCTCCTTTTTCATGTTCCCTTCCTGTATTCTTGAGACCTTTAGCAATGTAGATCCAGATTTGTTTTTTGAAATACTTTTTTCAATAAATAGGTCTAATTCATTTCTCTTCAGCATCACATTGATTTCACTGCTTGGAAAGGACATTATTTTCTGCTTTGGCTTTTGGGTGAACAAGAGGAGGTTGCTACCAGTGTGTTAATTTGCATATATGCATTCTTTGAATATTTAAAAAAATAATTTCCCTAGCAAATCAGTATGTTTTTGACTGGGTAATGTGCTGATGTGGGCTGGGATAGAGTTAATTTTCTTCCTAGTAGATAGTATGGGCTGTGTTTTGGATTTGTGCTGGAGATTGTTGATAACACAGCTGTGTTCTAGTTGTGGCTGAGCAGTTCTGACCAGGCCTTTTCTGCCCTCACCAGACCCCACCAGTGAGGGGCCTTTTGGGAGCCCAAGGATTGGAGGGGACACAGCCAGGACAGCTGAGCCCAAGGGCTGTCCCAGGCCAGGGGTGTCACCTCAGCTGGGGGAGAAGAAGGAAGGGGGGACACTGGGGTGATGCTGTTTGTCTTCCCAAATAACTGCTGTGTGTGATGGAGCCCTGCTTCCCTGGAGACAGCTGCACACCTGCCTGCCCATGGAATGGTGAATTCAGTGGTGAATGAACTCCTCCTTTTGATTTGCTTGTTGCTTATTAAACTGTCCTGATTTCAGCACATGAGTTTTCTCCCTTTTACCCTTCAGTCTCTCCCCCATCTGTCTCAGAGGGAAAGTAAGTGTGCAGCTCTGTGGTGTTTGTTTGCTGCCTGGGGTTAGACCATGACAGCAGTTTGAGTTGGTCCTCAGTCCTGTTATATACAACATTCTGCATCAATCCTAAATTAATACTGTAGGGCCTGAGAGAGGAAAATAACTGAGAAGGTGATCTCTTCAGAAAGCAGCATTTAGTGCTGTTCTCACCTCTCTTTATCAAATGGGACATTGATTCATTTGCCATGGGCTGGTGCTCAGTCACAGGCTTGAGGCATCTGTTCCTTCTCCTGCTTTGTTTTAGCTTCAGCAGGTTTTTCTGTTGGCAGAGACAGCTTGTGATGAAAAAAGATGGTGTCAAGAAGGCTGGTGGTAACAATTTGTTGGTTTTAGGGGCTATGCCAAATCTAAATGTGCTAGAATGAAAACCTATGGAGACAGGCTTTTAACTAGGGTTCATTTAAATGCAAACAACAAAGCAGCAATCCATTACCATCAAGGAAAATTTGTTTTACTCCAGTAAAGGCTTTGTCACGGTTGTGTCACAGCTCTAGATCCTCACAAAGGTAGGTCACCTGCCCAGCAGATGCTGTAAGAAATCAGTTGCTTTGAAAGGAGTTCAGGTCCTGCTGTGTATCTGATTGGCAGTGACATCATTTGTCCACTTTGATTTCATGCACTGTGCCTTTTCCAGATAAGGGCAGTCACTTGGCAAATCCATTAGAGTGATTCATTCTAAATATTAATACGATATTTTACAGATGCTGGATCACTCTGAAGAAAACAGCCCAGTGTTTGTATTTCATCCTCTGCAGCTGCAGGCTCTGATTGCATAGGTAGCCTGACAGCCACTGACTTATTTTGCTCACCATAAGTTTAAGTTAATTTTCACAGGAACAGATGTCTGTTAAAAATCAGTAATTCAGCATGCTGCTTCAGCATGAACAGTTTTGGCTTTCTATAACAATCTACCTTCTCCAAGCCAGAGAAAGAAATTTAGGGCTGCTCAGAGACAAGCGGGCAGGCGCTGTCCTTTCCTGAGGCACAGGGAGGTTTCTGGGATGCACCAAGAGCAGAGGCTTGGCCCCAGGGCATCTGGAGGACTCTGGGATGTGGAGGAGGAGAAATCTCGTCCATTCAGCTCGGCTTTAGGTTGATTCTTGCCAGCCTGGGCAGGTGCGTGCCTTGGCTGGGGACAGAGGTGCAGTGGAGTGAGCGGCCACTCGGTGGAGTCAGGAGACCTCGGAATGCCGGGGGGACACGTTGGCACCTGCAGCCCTGCTGCTGTCCCTGGAACACCGGGAATATTCCTGTGATCCTGGGAATTCCCAGTGGAATCGGCTTTATGGGAACCCTGACACGGAATTTTTTATTTTAGCTGTAACTTCGGGAGAATGGGTAGTTTGGTCTTTGGGTAGTATGTGTGCTGCAAGAAGAAGCAAATAAGGCATTAATGTGTTTGAATTTAGTGCAGTTGCTCTCTAGCTGGACTCATCTGACAGAGTTTTGCTCATGCCTAATTCATAATCTGGTAAGAATGCTGTTGAAATCAAGCAAGAGCATCACACTGTGAAAAATCAAACCAGTAAAACTTTTACAAGGTGAGGCCCTATAGCATTAAGAAAATTTCAAAGGAAGATCCTTGCCTATAGAAACATTTCTCCAAAAATTTTTAAGTTTTGTTCTTGTTGTTTAACTTTTTATAATTAAAAAAATAGATAAGAGGAAATGCAGTAAAAAAAAAATCAAGTATCTTGCTTCTGTTCCAAACTTAATTAAGCTAGTCTGAGAAATCTCCATTACCTCTTAAGTATTTTTAAGTTCTCAGGGGCAAGGCTGTTAATAAGCTGATTGTTTCTGCCTGTTACCTGTTGTTTGTGATATTTAAAGAGAATGTCCAGTTGATAAAGTACATCTGTTATCTGTGGTTAGCCAGAGCAGTCAATGGGAACAGGATTTGATTCAAAATACAGTAAGACTATGAGAAGCCAAATATTCAAGAAGGGATGTATTGTGTGTACTATGAAGAGAAATTGTACTGTGAAGCTGTTCTTAGGGGCTGGTCTCTGGGTGTGGCTGGAACACAACCAGAATTATAGACGGGGCCATCAGCCCTGGGGATTGCCCTCCTCAGACAGTGTTTCTGACACCAGATTACAGTTTGCTATGTGAGTGGAACTGACATTGATGGAAAAGCAGCTGATTGTAAAGAAATCCTGCAAATGACAGCCATGGCCTGTGGTATGCAATGAAATAGTTCCTCTTGAACTATTTATTCTTAGCATGCAAATATGGTAGCACCACCACTTGTCATATTTCAAGTTCTAGAAGGAAACTAGAGTGGCAGTGTGTCAAATATTTATTTCACATAGTTCATGAGTCAAATGGAGAAGTTGCCAATTATCTCTGATTAAACAGGTAAGTAGATATACCACTAAGGGAAAATAGCCCAGTGGTGCATGTCCTACCTAGAAATGGAGAATCAGGGATAAGCAAGGAGCAATGCCAGCTCCACCACTGGAAATAAAAAACAACATCCTGGATTCAGTCCTGAAAACTCCACCTTGGCAGAGCAGCTTCCCAGCAAGTGGGTGGCAAGTGTTTGCTTCACTGTCCTGATTTCAGTCCCCATGGGACACCCCCAGCTTTGGGATCACAGACCCTTACTGACAGCATCTCTCATCCCAATTCTCCGGTGTTCAGTGCTATCAGATCATCTCCCAGCTGTCAGATATTTGCTCCACATGTTCAGCTGTCTGCAATGACAGCTTCTACAACCTTTCCAGATCTCTTATCAGCTTCATTCCAGTGCTTGCTGTCACTCAGGCTGTCTGTGGCAGTCTTTGGACTTCAGCACTAATTCCCCAAACCACAGTGTCTAAACCCAAATCTTCGTCCCCTGAATCCACCCATTCCAAGTTAGTGCAAGATTGACACAGATTTTAATGATGACAGTTTTGATCTAAATCCCTGTTGCCCCTTACTTGGGTATCTAGACCAAGTTCCTTCATCTTCCAGCAGAAGGTAAAGGAGAGTCAGTGGAAATTAACTGGATTTCATGAAATTGAGCACAACCCCTCTGAGGTGTGGGAACTCTTCCTCTGGTCATGACAGACAGGAATATTCCTTTTTTTTAATTTTTTTCTACCACAATATTTATTGTGACTCCACTTCCCAGTGTGGGCACAGCTGCCCACCTGCACTCAGAGAGGGGAGTCAGAGCAAGGAGTCAGTGAGACAAGCTCAGCAAACGAGGTGGGACAGTGACACTGATGTGTTCTGAGCCTTTGAGGAGGTTGGACTGACTTCAGAGCTGTTAGACTAATAGGAACTGATTCCTGGCATCTTCCCACAACTCCAAGGGCTACCAGCTCACACATTTTGAATATGTGTCCCCAAGGGTGTGCTGAGCTCAGTTCCCATATAACCTGAGAGTTCAAGGGTCTCAAGATAAAAGTTAAACATCCCCACATCTCAAGAATCCTGCTCTAACTAGACAGCTCCAGAGAAGACTGCTGATCAAATATTCTGCTTCCCTTTTTCCTTTCACATCTCCTCATACCTCTTCAGAAATTCTTTGCTTCCCAAGGTTCACATGTGATCTCTGCACTTTGATTTATTTTTTTTTCCCCAGACTGGAAAGACCATTTAGTACATCAGTGAGGGAAAGGAGAACTCTACTGTGATTTTTTTTTTTTTTAAATAAAGGAAGATCAAAGTGGCAGAGGCTCTG